TCCCTGTGGTATAATATAAATCAAAAGTCCGGGGGGGGGGGTCACTGTATTTTCAGACCATGCGAGGGGGCACACTGTGTTGTTGTTGTTTTGCTCGGGGGGAGGGCAAAAATCTATTCATGCTTTTGCGAAATCAGATTCCCCAGCACCCCGACCAGAGAAAATGACCAATCCCTCGACGAAGCCAATAAGGCACTCACGCTCAGTATTCAGAGTATTGCGTGATGGGAACTTGAAAACGGGAGGAACTCTGCCATTAGTTTGACAGTTTCGTCGCTGTTATATACTATCTCAGACTACTAAATATCGATATAGTAGTCTGAACGCAATACCCCGGCGCAGTATAACAGTAATATGATTTTGGGTAATGGGTAATTGCTTATTTTTCGAGAACATGGTGGTTTGGTAAATATCAAGTCTGATACATACATATATTAACATTTTTAGGTTTAACACTTTTTGCTGTACATGACAAATTCTCTACAAGAAGTAGCAATAACCCAGCCCCAAATGTATGTCCCAAATGGACATCTCGTCTTATCTGCCACCAGAGGGCGCTAAAGAAAGCTTTCGTTTTGGCGGCCATTTTGAAAATGTACTTCTCGTCTATTTTCGTGTGGAGATGTCACTAATCTGATTTATTTGTGTTTTCTTCTACGCGAATCGAATTTACAGGCCAATTTTAGACCTAAATGTAAGTATTATATACTAGAGACTTGGTGTGTTGTTGTTTATTAACAACCATGTCGAAGATTGTGATATTCGGGAAAGAAAATTTGTGATGCCGAGCAACTGTTTCGGCTCATTTCCGCTGGTTGTGGTCCTTTTCAGTCTCAGAGCATTTCGGGCCACCTCATTTGCCATATCGAGCCTTGTTTTCATTTTCAAATTGGGCAGGGAGTGTTGGTATCTCATATTTGTTCATGTTTCTAAATATCATGATTATTTAATTCAATTGAAGTATATACACTGTATGTCACAGTCACCTTGTTTTACATTTAAGTCAGCAAGGCGCTTTACCCCGAAACGAAGACTGTTTTTAAATCAAGACAATTCACCAAATCTAGAGACAAGTGTAGGCCTAGATCAGGTGACAATCACTCGATCAGAGACATTTTTTGACAACCCGAGGCGCCTTTTATGTGGATTTTGCGCATTTAGAACAGCCCAACAACAAACACGTTCATTTTAAGAGTCCGTTACCAGTGTTCGAAAAAAATCGCCTTTGTTTTTTCGTTTTTTTCATACTGGAAAAATATAGTAAATGTCTCCAGATTTGGGAGGGGGTATTCTCTCAATTTCTTAACCTAATTTATTCACACCTAAAACATTGGGAGATTTGACAAAAATGAAATTCTTTAATAGATGCTAGTCGGGAGAATGTTTCCTTGTCTAAAAGTTGGGGGAGAAAAGTGCCTTGCTTGGTCGTTAAGATTTGGTGAGGGCTGGATTAAAAACAAAATTACAGATTTTCTCCATAATATTTTCATAGTAATCACAATTACATGCAATGTTAGTGATGGTATTCTGGCGAAATTCATGTCCATTTCAGACCAGGACATTTTTTAAAAAGTATCTATATTCATCTACTAATATTTTGAAGTGAAGGAGTTGTAACCTGTGCATGCACAGGAGTCCTTAGTGACGATGACAACCCACTCTAAAACTGCAAATGCTCATGGTAGATGTTTATTTTTAAAGGACAAACTATGGCCATCTGCTGCATATGCAACTGATGAGCTATACTATACATGTACAAAGTTAGTGTATTTTATTGATAATACAATCGATGTACAATACAATACAAGAGATGTTTTGTTAAGTATAATTAATATAAACTATTTATAAATTTGAAATGATGTTCAAACACCATTTGACCAATAACAATGACTTGGCAGATGAATAATATCACAAAATAACTATCCGGCCATTGTGGCCTTTGACCATTATATAATAATTCCCCCGTTACTTGAAAAAAATTACATTTTAACAATTTAACTTTCTGTACGAAACTATAGTGACAGTATTACTGAAATATGTTTCTGCTGACAATCAATTTGCAGTGTGTTAAATACATTTGTTGGAATCTACGTTCATTAATTAATAATTAATTATCCACCGTGAGTGATAAATAAAATAAATTCTTTGTTTCCAGTAACCCTGTACCGATCAATTTTTGGGGTGAAATCAAAAAGTTTATTTTATGCAGATTAGTTATGGTCCACAATTATCATATACCTCATATTACCAACCTCGTAACGCTATGAGAAGTGTGCCCTCACATCAGGGCAATAATTTCCTGTATTAGGCCTAGGTCAGCGCGTCATGCTATCAATAAACTAGTGTTGATGTGAACTTAGAATATTATCAAGTATGTGAAACTGATTAGAAAAAATATTCAATTACAAATTCTTGTTTCAGCTTTGTTGAAAGAAAGGTTGTTTTCACCATGAAGTCTGGCCCAGAGTTTCAGGTAACTAGCTAGTCAGTTAGAAAATCATTTTACAAATTGTTAACAAATACAGAAACCACACTAATGTTGTTCCACAGGATAAAAGAGGTTTAAGCAAAAAGGATGAATTTGACCACATTTTCGATATTTCAAAACTAATTATCCTTGTTTATGGGTCAGGAATTCTTTAACATTTTTTTTTTACTTTCTATTCAGTTGGAGAATTTGATAATGAGTAAGAGTACGGGTGTCAAATATTTCAATGCTCTTGAGCAGTTTGTAGATCAGGATGTCCAAACACCACAAAGATGTAACAAATCAATATGTGATAAAGTAAAAACACACATACGACAGGTAGGTGACTTAACAGTGCTGTCCAAGCTGTAACATACCGATAACTGCAAAGCTGGCTCTTCAATGGCTGCCTTTTTCATAAAAACTTCATTGTTATCAATTTGTGGTATGTAACTAAAGGTACCTTGAATATGAATTTGGGAAACTGTTTTGAAAACAAACTAAACTAGCTTTAAGTCAGCTAAAACCTATCTAAATGTTAAGTTTTGCTTGGATTGCAGTTGTACCTATACAGTACTATCCAGGTGTCACTTAACTTAGCTATACCTTTTAGCTGGCATAAAGCTAGCATAGATTCACCATGAATATCATAAGTCAAATACCTACAAACAAAAAATGATATTTTTAATGAAATGATACTTTAAGTGTTTATGAAAAGATAAAGTTGCCTGAAAGCCAGCTTGGAAGTTAAGGTAGAGATGTAGGTTCGTGGGCACTTGGGAGTGAAATTTTTTTTTTTTTTGTGCTTTTTATTATCCAAACAGTCTTGGCTATAGACTGTTAAAATTTTGTAGAATTGTGAATAGTGGAACATATTCAAAAAACGATTTAAAAATATAGATAACAGGTGCAAACATTATCTCTTTTGAATGCTTAGCAAAATTTAGCAAGGCTGTACATAAATAATAAAAAAGAAAAATGGTGAAAAAAAGAAATGACAGGATCTCCATATTATGCATATTATTATTATATTTAACTTTTAACAAAACGATAATACAACTTCTTACTGAGTGAATTGTTATGCAAATTAGCAATTATCTCAGCTTCTTTTTAGTGCACATCCCAGAAATTTAAAAAAAAATAGCTCCTAGACGCTTTGACCTTTTATTTTGAAACAGTGTTACAACAATCCTACAGACAACTAGCCTGGGTGTTAACTTATGCATAAACTTGAAGTAGTGAAATTTGAGCTGCTGCCCTGCAAAATTGACAACTGGTAGACAGTTTTCAAGACGGCACTTTCTTCATAGTAAACAAATGTACCCATAAACCAATTTTTACAGGAAACAGAAACATGGTTTAGAAGCTAATTTTTTTTAAATCACTTTTGACCAAAAAAAGCACCTTTTTTTTGCATATTTCAAACTATAGTGTCCATAAAAAAAAATAGTAAAAAATTTAAAAATTCATACAATAAGCTTTCCGAAAATATATAGTTTTGTGGACAAGAGAGGTCATCTTGGTTTCCTAACTAACTAATTAAAATTCCTGTCAAGTAAACTGCATCTCTACCTTAAGTTATGCTTAAACTGTACATACAGCTAGTATTATTTTTTAATATTGATGAAAATTAGATACATTAGCTGTGTCCATCCTTGTATTTTAAATATTCCTCAGAGATCTTGAACTAAATTCATCACCTTCATGAAATTTACCTGTGTTCCCCAATAAAAATGTTTGACTGTATTACCTCATGTTGAAGAAATATTATTATACAGCGTGCCATAATTTTGCAATTTTGCACTGGGTATTTTCATCCTACCATATTAGGAAATGCGAATTCCAAATATGGAACGATTTCACACATAAGCGTCCTCTAATAATAAAAACAAACATGGCAGCCCCCAGAGTTTGACCGGACTCCCCACAAAGAAGTTCGCTCAATCTGTTCTCAACTTTTTGTATTTCTGCATTCCCAGGAGGAAAAGATGTATAATAATAAGGTTATTACGGTACAAGGATACCGAAAAGTATGCACTCAGAAAGTATGTTGCGTCAACCTCTGCTGCTGTACTGTCTTTATGCATACTTTTCAATATTCTCATAATAACCTCATAGTATTGACATCTTATTTAATGTTATCATGGTCATGAAACTTTTGTAATAAGAAGACTTGTTTTACAGGCTCTGGATGTTGGTAGCTATCAACGCTTGACTCTATTGCTGGACGTCATATCATATTTTGCAAGGTTTGAGAACTATGATGACGGACTACCAGTATTGTTAGATGCAGATATTGACAGATTATTAGGTAGGATTAAAAAATAATAATAGAATGTTGGAGGTGTCATGTTCGGCTGTGAAGTTATTAACAAAATACCAGAATGGTTATAAAGAAGTGAATGCTCAGTGGATTAAAGAGCATGTTTGATTATGCAAATTTTAAATATGTCACTAACTGCGCCTGGACTCTGAAAGTGAAAGTGATAGTTTAGTTGACGTGTACCTTTTCTTTCCGATGTCTGTTAAAAGATGTATATTATTTAATCAGGGGTTTTTCAGGAAAAAAACTGCAAGAGGGAGCGCTGCAGTTCAGCGGCGCCACCAAGTGGGAGAGATAGAGTTCTCTCTACCAGGGTGTGGAGTTTTTGATGATTCTAAGTTAAAATGGAGCATTCTATGGCTTTCTTGGGGCCAAAAATACTATCAGACAGGTCACAGTTGAAGACTGTAGCCACATGTGATCCCTGGTCAATCAAAATTTTATGGTGCCAGAGGATCTGCTCCCCAGCCTAAGGGGTGCATGGCCATGGCATGAGGGCACTGCGCCCCTGTTTCCTTGTTTAAAAAAATCCCTGATAATAAAGTTCTTACCAAAGTACCAGAATTTATGTCATATGCTTTGGCATATATGCACCCTAAATATTTGGTTTGTGTTTTAATCAGGTAATGAGGTCAAGGGATCAAAGGGAGTACAATAACCCAAGTGCAATAACATAAATTACTGTGGTTCTCAGTAGTATTTGTTAAAGAGCTAGGTTTATAATAATGTATGGTATACTATACTAAATAGGTCATTGTGTTAGGTATTGCTGAAGGGAATTGTTGCTGGGCATATATGCCAAAGCAATTGGTAATAATGATAAAAATGGTTTACTCGTCCTTTTAGCAAAAATAGCTTCAAGTGTATAAATAAATGTATTTTACAGTATTTTTAAAACGATATTTGTTATTGATAGTTAAAATATTCCAAGAAGCCAACAGTAAACTCATCCAAACTGATGACAATGAAACAATACTGGAACCAATAAGACTTATGCAGAAGTTATTTGATACCATCAATGTAAGTTAATGTCTTCATTTGTATATTATCGCACACTGGATTATACCAGGCTTATACTCACATCTGTACTCATTCTTTGACAATATACCGGTAATCTTTAGCTGATCTTTCGTTACAATGTCGTAAAAAAATAAAAATACAGCAATAGAAAAAAGCATGCATATTTGAGAGATGTTCTGACTAGCAGATACAGCCAGTGACTTATTATGATACAATTTTTAATTTTGGTTGTTCCTATATACATTTGTAGTCCAGAACCCCATCTGCTAAACATGTACTGAGCATAGGTTCAACGTTTTATTGCTGAGCAAATTCCAATGAATATATATTTATATTCATGTTTCTCAGGGGAGGTGGGGGTGATAATTTTTTTTTTATTTTACTTTCTGTGTTATCATATGCAAAAAATTGAATATTATTTTCAATAAAATTCTTATTTTAGTAGTATGTTTGGTGACATGCATTTACATTTTTTTTTGGTGCAAAAAACAAAGAAAGAAAAATTGTTTTTATATATACAAGATATATTAAATTAAAGTGTTAAACTCATGGCACCACATTTACAAGTCTTATGAAGTGTATACATGTCAATTAATATAAAACTTAAAGTGCCTGTGCAATGCCCACCCTCACGTTTCCCATTTTAGATCTGTGTCCCACTGAAAAGGGTAGTTATTGATTTTTTTGCTGAAAATGATTACTCGTATCCAAGTAAATTTGGGATATTTCTCGTGTTGTAGCCACGCCCACCTATCGTGGTCGACTGTTTCCGGATTTCCGACTCTCACCGAAAGTGCGCCACCAAATGACAAAATGTGAGAGAAAGTCGTACCCCTGAGCCGTAATAACACTGGTCGTTCAGTATACTTTTAAACGATATACATTTTTCGGTCGCCGTTTTTTCTTTTGTTTTTGTCTATTTTTTTTTTTTTTTTTTTTTGAGAGAGAGAGAGAGTTTTTAGATGTTGTGCTGTGGGCAGTTGCAGTGAAACGTATAGCCATAGTGTTATGTATTCACACTCGATCCAAAGGTGCGACATCACTTAACCTTAGATTCATTCAACTGTCCTCGTCCATAAAAAAACGACTAGGTTTAAAGAGAAACGCCGACAACGTAAACCTGGCGCAACACTTTTGAAAGAAATAGATTCCGGACCAGCCCATGATCACCGAGGCGGATTTCAGAAGAGAGAGAGACGTCCGGCAAGTGTTTCAAATCAGTTGACTTTTTTTGCGATCCTGATTATCGTTTTATAGAGACCATTTACATGTAGTCCCTGTTAAGTATAAGGTAGCAATCATTTTGACAGTGACACGAAAACGAAGCGTCGGACAAACAGGAAATTACACAGCCCTTACACACTGCTAACTGTTTTCATTTTCGAAGGCTAAAAGTTTCTGAATTGTTTGGTGATTGGTGTTGAATGTCGAATTCACACCTTCACACTTTTTTACCTCCATGCTTGCAGCTTGATCTGCGTAATAATTTATGAAATAAGAATCCGGGCTTGGTCAATGTGTTTCCACCATAGACCCTCTAACAGAGGGTCTATAGTTAATGGTTCCCACCAAATAAAGTTTTAATACGATGTTATAATTATGCCAATCACGCCATGGATCAAGCTAACTCGAATCCACTCTGAATTTATCTGTACGTGTGTCGATCTCAATTATTTTTGTTATCCAATTAAACGCCGCTTTTAACGCACTTGCCCTCGCCGTGACCCGACACGTTCACCTATTTCAACAAAATGTCAATTTATTTCCGCGCGGCTGTCATTTATTTAGTAACTGTGATTTGTCGTTTTTTAATTATTTTATAGTGATCACTATAGTCTAATGTTTAGAATGTCAAAATATGTTCTCTTTTATTTTAATTTTGAAAGTTTTACTCAGACGACTGATGAAATAAAACAGTGTAGTGACGTGCCTAGTAACCTGCTAAATAACAAGATAATTCCGACGTCAAATTCTATTTTGTCCAGCAACAGTGTACAAACGTGCGGCGGTGTCGGTGACGATCACGGTGACCAGCTACACCAGAACGGACATATTTCGCATCTAACTCAACCCCATGCAACAAAAATTGATACTATGTGTTCATTATGGTCCATTCTTCCTCGAAGAACAAGTACATAAGTGACAATATAGTCAAAGACGAGAAAACTGCACAAGAAATTTGCCTTATTTACACGTATCCGCAATGCAAGCTACCATGCGACTTCCCCTTCTGACGTCACAAGGGGAATTTCTGTATGCAAATGAGAAGCTAATGAGGAGTGATCAACTCAGTACCACTTTAAAAGCTGTGTGAATTAACACAAACAAAGCCTGATATGCCACCCATTACTGAAATATTCATTTGACTCTTCTTTCAGGATATTTCTGATAATAGTATGAAAGGGAAAGCTATCATGGTATCTACATTTTCAGAATTATTATTAGAACTTGCTGTCAATACAAATAAATGTTTTCACATCAGAATGGAGGTATGTATGTCAATTTCCGTTCCTTGAGTGCAATTTAAATAATACAGAACTATATTTGATATATAAAAAGTGCATCTCCTCATGTGCTACTGAAAAAGCAAATATGGTATGCTGTATCAATTTTTGAAATCATTTCATATTTTCTATAATACACAAATTTAAACCTAATGTCCTATTCCAATTTTACTTAAAATTTTAGATTTTTCTAAAAATAACTTCATTCTGTCATTGTTAATTGTCTTTTACTGCTTTTTGTAGGCTTTCAAAATATTGAATCCTCTGTTTGAAGGCATTGGTAATGAAGCCAGAACTATTCTGAGGGAAAAATCGGACGTGAAGAACCTCATGTAAGTATTAATTAGTACATTATTTAATATTTAAAGGGCGGTAGTTGCCGTGCCGCGTCCTGTTCAATATGGGACCCATGGCGACGTATACAACGCATGTAAAATACATTGTTTATTTACATGAAATTCGAACATGCGCTGCGCAATGACCACACGCTTTAAAAGATAATGTCTTTTTCATTGTTCACCCTCAATAACAAGGCTACTGTAGTGTTAGTGAAGATTAATGTTACATAGCATTAAGGAGTGAGGAGCCTTATTTTTCAAACAGTGAACTTTTTAAAAAGAAGTTGTGTGACAACTCTATCCCACAATTCATAATAAAAAATAGTCACCAACCAAATTATTGTGCTGATTACCCATAGCCTATCGATATAGTAAACCATACAACTTGGTACTGTAAATGCATTAATTATTCACTGATAAGTAAAAGCGGCTAAATTAAATCTACATGAACATGTAAAATAACAATTACCGGTACTGTAAAACTCATTGTTCCCTTGACAAATTCATGAAATTAAAATACAGTGGATATTTTTTAAATCATCAAAATAGTTGAAAAAAAAAATGGTTTTACAGTACTCATGGAATACTTTTTATAAATTTAACTAGTTCCCGCAGTTAAAAACTTCATACTAATCACAACATCTATAAAAAGAAAATACTACCTGTCTATAAGGACCGCTTTTAGACATAATCTATTAAACAACGTATGTATAAAAACCATCTGTCTAGTATGACCCACCTTAGTTTCATCAATTTTTAGTGTGACCAAAATATTAAGTAGTGTTACATGAAGATGGCTGTATAAATAAAGCTATACTTTGCCCAATTTAAATTATTTCCTGCATCTTTTTCATAAATTCAATCATTGCCTTTCCACGGCACAAATCACACATTTCTCATAGCTTTTCTTGATTTGGTGGATTTTGAATATTTCATGCTCTACCAAGGTACAAGTTGAGATGTATAATATATAATCCCCATGCTGGACACAAGTGATTAATGACAGTGTTTTGTATCAATCCCAGCTGCAGATGGTACTGTAATTGCGTGTTTGTTTACGTAAACCTAAGAACAAAATATTATGGAATATTATATTTATCACATATTTCCACAGTTAGAAAAAAGTGAAATGGTTCAAAGTGGAACTATTGCTGATTAAGAGTATATCATTGCATGTGCCTTGTATGCTAATTTTATTGATGCTACTGTGTTTTAATTCATGCGAATGTCTTGATATTTGCTAAAATTTCTTCAACTTAACAGCTTTCATGGAAGGACTGCATGAAAAATAATTATGAAAATAAAATGCACACTTGAAATGCCAAAATGAACCATTTTCACCACAATCCATAGTTATCCAACCCTATATAAAGCTGGAAGTTCAGGACAACCTCCATGTAATGCATACGGA